AAATATTTTTCTATTTTTGTTTTATCACAACAAAGCAATAATATTTACAACCACGGCAATATAGATATGTATATATATATATATATATATATATTGCACAATCATATTAAAATTACATGTCAATGACCTAAATAATTTAGTAATCATTTCTTTTGTTAGAAATAAGAGATCCTGAATTTGAGTTACATAACATATAAATGAGGTAAGATAAAGGAATGAATTTGAGTCACATGGTTGCCTCTTATTATGCAATCAAGATTAAAAAAAAAAAACACATTAAATAACTATTTCAAACAAATCCTAAATTCAGAAAAAAAATAAAAATAAAATCAAAGTTTACATCCACACGTCCAAACTTCTGGAGGTTTATTGAAATTCGATGCTAAATACATGCAAAAAGGGTAGTTATCATTCACGTCCCAAACATCAGAGAATTTCAGATGAAATGCTGGCCTCAACAGCCCAATAAGATAACAGAGAGATGACATGAACCGTGGTTGGTTGCAAGGTTTTTAAAACCAGACCAGACCGGATGGCTGAACCGGTCAAATTGGTATCCGATGATAAAAACGATTTGGTTTACATAAAAAAACCGTTTGAGGTCAAAACCGATGAAAATCGGTAAAAACCAGTAAAAACCGATAAAACCAAAAAAATCACCGGTTCAATTTCTCATGCAATCTTCTTTCAATTTTTTTAATTTCACCCTTCCCATTCCTTTCTTATACCCATTTTAACCTTTAATTTTAACAAAATTACAAAATTATCAACACCAAATTAAAAAATCCATGCCTGCAACTTGCTCCTCTCATCAAATCTTCCTTGCTGTTTGGACTGGCGGTTCATCGATTCAACCAGTTGAATCGGTTAAACCAAAAACCAGACCTAAAAATGGTTCAATGATCGGTCCAATTTTAAAAACCTTGGTTGGTTGGATAGACAATAAGTATGCCATTTGAGTGCATTGCCTTTCTATCTACTATCCCACCTAATGATCTGATTTCGAATTAGGTATAGGTACCTGTCCTCTTGTATTGAAAACTAGTTAGCTATGAGCTTATGATGGATGTTCAACAATTGCCCGGCGTATTGAGCTACGTCAGTTGGCTCACCCTAAAAGCCTAGAAGCTTGGTTAGCATCTTTTTGTAGGGAAGGTTTTGGCCACCACCTAAAAAAATCATATTAACGGCTTAAATAATTCAATAGCTATATTTTTTTATTAAAAATAAGAGATTTTGAGTTCGAGTTGTATAATATGCAAGTGGGGTAAGATAAGAATGGTTGTCTTTTATTGTGCAACTAAGTTAAAAAAAAAAGAAGAAGGTAAAATATGGTATTTAAAAGTATTGATTTTATTTAAATTAATTAATAAAAATAATTAATAACAATAACTATTAACAAATGGAAATGGTTAAAACAATTAATATTTAGTAATTAATAA